GAGGCAATAATAATTCAAATATTTGGTGCGTATGGATGAAAATTTGTAACATTATTCCATTTCTTCATGGCGTTGTTTTAACTATAATTATCTTTATAATAATTGGGCTTCTCCAGTTCGCGCAACTGTTACGCCCTGCCAATCCCACATAAATAATGGACTATTCCGTTTTGATCGCGTGTGAAGACAAAAGACATCAAAGATGCTACTTTGTTGCAGTCTAAAAATGAAAGAAAGAAATGGTTAAAGTCTGCTTCAGGAAAATGGAAAGTTTGTCAATTTCAAATCTTTTCATTTGTACCCTCTTACTTAAAATAGGGACCAGTTTTCATATTTACGATTGTTGTAGAAATATTTTTAAAGTTAAGCTCAAATATTTATTGATCTTTGTATTATATTATTATTATTATAATATCAATGTAATATAATAATAATAATTATTATTATTATATAATTATTAGTATTATATAATTATAATTGATTATATAATTATTAAAAATTATTATAATAATAATATTATTATATAATTATAATAATATAATAATAATAATATTATTATAATTATTAGTATTAATATAATAATAATAATTATTATTATATAATTATTAGTATTAATATATAATAATAATTATTATTATATAATATTAGTATTAATATAATAATAATAATTATTATTATATAATTATTAGTATTAATATAATAATAATAATTATTATTATATAATTATTAGTATTAATATAATAATAATAATTATTATTATATAATTATTAGTATTAATATAATAATAATAATTATTATTAGTATTAATATAGTTATTAATATAATAATAATTAATTATATATATATAATTATTAGTATTAATATAACTAATTATTACTATATAATTATTAGTATTAATATAATAATAATAATTATTATTAATAATTATTAGTATTAATATAATAATAATAATTATTAAATATACAATTAATGATAATATAATAATAATTATTATTATATAATTATTAGTAAAACATAATAATAATAATTATTATTATATAATTATTAGTATTAATATAATAATAATAATTATTATTATATAATTATTATGTATTAATATAATATAATTATTACTATATAATTATTAGCATTAATATATGCGGATAATAAGGAATGTTACTATATAATTATTAGTATTAATATAATAATAATTATTATTATATATTTTTAATATTACGTATAATAATAATTATTATATAATTATTAGTATTAATATAATAATAATTATTATTATATAATTATTAGTATTTAATATAATAATAATAATTATTATTATATAATTATTACTCGTTAAAACCTGGATATTAATATAATAAATTAATTATATCATTATTATATAATATTAATAAAATTATAATATAATATTATTATTATTATTATATAATTATTAGTATTAATAATAATAATTTATTATTATTATATAATTATTAGTATTAATATAATAATAATTATTATTATTATATAATTATTATTATATAATTATTAGTATTAATATAATAATAATAATTATTATTACATTATTTTTATTATAGTAATAATGTATTATTATTATACATTTTCTCCGTCCCCTATTGATTTCTGTTGTATGCACATCATCTTCCGGATTCTAACCAGAGACAAAAGGTCAGAAATGGCTTCATTACATTTTCCCCCTGATTATTGTCGTACAATAAAGAGAGAGAGAAAAAAAAACTAAGGTCACACACATTTTACATAAAGTTCTTCATAATATATGAGCTACTTGTGTGTACAATTTTGTGTATTTATTTTTAAACGAATAGACTTCCAGGATTCCCATTAATGGATATCGAGACTTTTTTCCAATCAATCCAAGAGATCCAATTACGACTGGAATTATTGATACCATGTGAGACATTTTTGAGATTCCCACTTTAAGATCCGTAGATTTTGATAGTTTTTTGAAATTATTATTATTGCCGCAATTTTTTTAAATTTTACTTTTGGTTTGCATACAGAGATGAAGTTACAATGATTACATAGAAACCTGAACCCCCACTTAAAATTTAGAAAATTTAAAATGATAATTATTTCCTGATCTGGAGAACTTTTTCTTTTTATGTGCCGTATCCTTTCAGGACGTAAGCGATCATGGATCTTCATTTTCCCCTATCCTTTGTGGCTCTCAATAAGTTTCATATCTCTGTCAACCCCAGACCTCGTTCTGCCATCCACTTGCTTAAGCCCACCAGGTATGTCATGCGTTGCTTTCCCGTGTCACTTTTTCTGTTTATTTGACCTGTGAGTATCAGATTCTCCACACCTTCCTTTCTCATTACGTGTTCCAGAAATTTCATCTGCCCTTTTGTTAAGTATAAGCTTTCTCCTTGTTTGTATCCTCTCTAAGACCTCATCGTTGTTTACACGCTCGGGCCATGATATCCTTAGCATCCTTCTGTAGAACAACATCTCCGCTGCCTAGAGACTCTTCTTCATCAGCGTGTGTATAAACACCGATACACCGCCTTTATCAGAATTCCTATTTATTCCTGTTATAAGGAAGAAGAAGAAAAATTCCATTTTCTGTAAATCGAAAAATACATATTGATTGAACGGTTCTTGTCTGAGAAAGAGAAAAAGTTTTCAAAGCATGGCATTATGAATTTGTCTAAAAATTAACAGAAAACTATGGAAATAAACGGTAAATTCAATGCGGATAATATTTTAAATATATGGTCTTTGTTTTTATTTAATAAAAGCGAACGAATAATATATTTTAAGACCTTTAAGTTATGTTAATAAAGCAAAAAACATTTACACACGTCAGTGCTTTAAAGTTGAATAGAAATTGTAGAAAAAGCAAAGCAGATGGTGATCATTTTAACAGTATGGAAACACAATAGACATATAATATCCCGCGGCTAATTTGTCTATTCTCATTTTGTTAAAAATAAAATACATATTTTAAAACGGAATGGAAGACTGTAAAAAGTAACACTCCGAAACATTTAATACATCAGGTCCATGTTTTATTTTTATTTTTTTTTAAATAAAAAAAAAAATTAAAATTCTAGTAGTTGTCGGGAGGAGGTTAAAATTGAATTGAATTTGGTAAATGGATTTTCGAACGAATGAGAACGTGAAATATAAAAAAGCCTGTCTTCCTTTTATGATATTTCTTCCAAATTGTTTCTGCATTTATGTTAACATGGGCTTGTCTATATATACGCAGAAATATAGTTTTAAAGTGTGCTATATTTATGGGATAAAGTGCTCCATATCAGAGATAGAGCGTATGTAAATACAAATATAAAAGTGAACATTAAATCAACATTCATAGGCAGCAGGCAGTTTCATGATAGATGCAATCGTCAGGCGGCGAGTGTTGGATATTTCTCGAAAAAATTCCAACACTCGCGGCCTTATATATATATATATATATATATATATATATATATATATAGCAATTTAGGCTTGTAAAAAAATAATAATAATAAAAGATAAAATACATAAATATTAAAAACAAGTGTGGGTTTTGCAAAACTTCAAGTTATATATGGTGAGCATCACCTTTGTAACAAAGAAACGATTTTACAAACGGGGATAAAAAAAAAATCAATAGTAATGGACGTTTTTCAGTTTATCATAAAAACAAAATTTTATGTTAAAAAATTTTTAACACCAGATTCCAGCTGATTAGTCATTTTAGTAAATATTTAGATTAGTTCACCTTGTACAATACCAGATAATTTTAATCAAGTCTAATATCCAAAAAAACCTTTGTTCTAAGGTAAGTTATCTGTGATTCTGCAGTATGGGCTGGATTCGTCGCAGATAATACCAAAATAGAATTTGCTCGACTTGTCACACCAGTTAATGAGAGAAGCAAAGTGCATCAAAAGGTTAAACGTCATCCCTATAGCAACAGGTACAGTTCAGTGTCTCATAAAATATCAGTGGCTGCCTCTGGCATATAAACAATGTGGCCTATTCAATTACAGATCATGCCAGATTGTGTTCCCTCCGAGAAAACGTAACTGAGGTCGACTCAACATACTTGAAGTAGAAACCAGAGGTTGGCTCAGTGGGGAATTTAATAACAAAAAGCACACGCGCACAAATTTGCATATATATATATATATATATATATATATATATATATATATAAATGCAATGAGAACGAAAGTAATATAAAAAATCTGACGTTAATATTGTTCATAACCATTTTTTGTTCTCACCCGTCGAGGTGAAATTGAAATGCACCGAAACGAAGTTGCATCTTTGTAGTGAGTAAACTGGTTTTGTCTATATGATAAAATTATATATAATTACTCACTCACGGTGGAATAGAGAATAGCGGCTCGGATTGAGAAATCGGAGAGCCGAGTTCGAATTCCACTCGAATCCATTACATTCACTTACGTGCTAATACCATTGGGAAAGGTATTAATCCTCTTCTCTCTATAGCCTTGGATAGCAACTGGTCTAGGAGAAGGACAACTCTGAATTCAAAACCTGCGAAGGGCTGTTTTCTGTATTCGGTTCTTCAAAATGTTGGTTCTGCACAAAGCCTTCAACCCCCATAAACATATGTGCTGGTGTTTGGCCGTCGGTTCCTAGGAACTGAGTTACTTGAACCTCATAAGTCGAATACGACGGGAGAGTCCACCATATACGCTAATAGCACCCCAGTTACATAACAAAATCTCAGGCTACCAAATAACTTTTAAATATTTCTAATAAAAAACAGATTATAAGCTGAAATTTATCATAGATATACATATATCCTTGAAAAGATTTTCCACGTCAGTTGCTTACTACCAACAATATTGCTTAAAAAAAAAGCATCTACTTGTGTGATAAAATCTGGCGTCATCTAGCTACTCTTTTTGTTCCTTTTTTTTTGTTCCTTTTTTTGTTCCTTTTTTTTTTTTGTTAGGAACGCTAAACTACTATCTTCGCACCCTCCTCCTTATCTCCCTTGTTTCTATCCCTCATCGAGCCTACGGTCATATCCCATTGAAACACCGGTTCCCGTATCACGGAAGTTAAGCAACGTCGTACCTGGTCTGTACCTAGATGGGTGACAGCTTGAGAATATTGGGAGCTGTAAGATTGGGTGTGCAGGTGGTGTAATAGATAACGACCCAGAATTGGAAATTGGAGAGTCACGTTCCAATTCCAGTGAGGTTAGTTATATTTACGCGCTCAAATACACTGGGGGGAAGGTATGAATCTACCCACTCTCCTCCCAGCTATGTCTTGTGGCAGTAAATCATTATCATCTAAACAAAATTTTAAAATCTAAAAATATTTCCTAGCCTTAAATAAACGGCAAAAGGTTGATAAGCCGTAAAATATCAATCAATCAAAAAAACATAAGTCAGTATATAAAGATATGTTTAGTGGTACAAAATTTTATCACTGTCATAAACAGAAAAAAATTAGTTTTATTATTACCACTCATGATAATAAAAATGAAAAACGGTCCAGCTAACCGGACTCGTTCCTCGCTTAACAGAGCTAAATTCAGGTAAATAAAGTAAATTATATAAAAGAACAATGGATAAAGTGTATCGGAGGGAGATAAAAAATATTTAAATGGTAATTAGTTGGAGGCCTAATATAAAGGCCTTCTGTTTACAAAGAGAAGGCTTTAATGATAGAATATAGATGGCCTCCAACACTTTTAGGTGGTAATTAGAGTAGAACCTGCTAAGGATGTTAAGAGTCCACACTAAAACTAACAGTACAATTATGGCTATTTATTAGCGATGGAAGACCCGTCTGTATTGGTTAAAATATCCGCAGAAGTGTACTTGAGGTTTCGGATATTCGCTAGAATGTGTTGTTTTATTCTAACATCCAGCCTTTGCGTCGTTCTCCCTATGTAGTGCGAACCGCAACTACATTTAAAAGAATAAATTAATGAACTGTTATGATGTGGCGGGAGGACATCCTTACGCATAGACGGAAGGACAGGCCTGGCAGAGAAAACAACACGAGTGTTAGGTGGCAAAGTAACAATGTCGAACTGTGGTAGAAACCTGCTTAGCAAACCTATCATTGATACAATCTAGCCAAGGAAGGCGTAGGTACACAGGACATCTTTTTACTATAGCAGGTTTCACTTTGTTCAATTCAGCAATTTTATTCTTAATAATTGCTTGAACAATGCCCAATGGGTAGGCATTGTTGCAGAGAGTTGAAGTAATAAACCTAAGTTCATCATCCAACTTGATGTCCGAATAGATCATAAGAGCTCTATGGGTAAGGGTTTTAATTAAATTAATTTTGCGCTTCCAATTCATTATTTCTATTATAACAACACATCACTCGAGTCCTATATTAGGTGAATTGTAGTATTAAATATAAGTTTGGACATAGCTGTCTATATTTCTGAGATTAGCTATTGTAATTAAACGTCGTGAATATGGCAATGTAATATAAATAAGGTTTTGCGTCATTCTTTTTCTTTTTTAGTTATGAAAAGATGCACTATTACAACACCCACGCATTGTAGTTTTCTCCCGCTTTAATGCTACTAAAATCCAAGACAGTTTATTTTTTTTATTTATTTATTTTTTACATTTATATTACTTCTTTCCATACTCTTGTTATATCAATCGTAATTCGTTCTTATTCCTACTTGTGTTCTCAAATCCCGAGGTGAAAGGTCACGCAATTCCGATTTCATTAAATATTGTGATTGTTTTTAAGAAAAAAAAAAAATAGATGAAAACAAAGGAAAAAAGGTAATAAATTAATTAATGTTCAGTGAAATCATAACAACTTGCTGAATATAATCTTTCTTGGTGCCGATCCAAAACTTAGCATAGCTTGTTTTAAGCTTCTTGCGGAAGAAATCGGCTTTTCCCGGAGATATGTTATCGATTGTTGCATTTTTATAACGTCCATCTTGCTGATACTACTTTTTTTTCCTTTTGTTGGGCAAAGGGTTCACTCATTTGTCTTTGTTAAGACGTTTAAGCCTGAAAGCGTGACTTATTTCATTTTCTCTAAAATATTTGGAGAAAATTCTATTTGCGTTTTAAATTTAACCAACTTTAAAATGATTATTTTTTTTCTATCTAAACCTTCACATCTAATATTTTTCTGTCAAACCTTCACAACTAATATTCTTTTCCTGTACAAAGCACCGGAAGATAGAACCACCAATCAATGTACACAGTCGACGCATCCTCATTCTGTTCGTATTAGTAAGGAGACATTTTTACTCGGCTTTTTCTCCATAAACTGTCCTAATGTGGAATGGATACCCGAGAGAATGCTTCCCTGATGACTACTGATATTTAACCTCTTCCAGTCTAGGGTCAATCAATACCTATCCCAGATATCCTCATAATAGGTCTTTCTTACTCCATCTTTGTATGTCCTTAAAACTAAAATGCAATTTTTACTCCCCCCCCACCTTACACCGATAAAACAACATCCTTGAGTTACTCTAGAAAATTAGGAAAAAATTACACTTTTCATTCAAACCCTGTTCTGCTCCTAACGTAAATTACAAATTCCTCACTAGGTGGCTATAAGTAGTCACGAGCAATATCTAGGCTTGTTATCACCATGTGGGGTTGGGGAAATTCTTGACCAGGCTATGAAACTCTTCCACGAAAAGGATATTTAGTTAATTCGTCCGTCTGAAGTCACTTGTAATGTTTTGATTTAATCATTTCATCCCAAGCAAGGCAATAAAGCCACTGTGACAGAACAGGTTACTGATTGTGAAAAAAAAGAAAAACATTAGGTAGTGAGAACAGAAGATAAGGATTGACATTGCATTTAAATTTTTGAAGCTCAATCTTGGCTGGAAAGCATGAAGCCGGAAGAGAGTTCCACATACGAGAGAAAAAAAAACTGTTGGCATCGAACTTATGGTTACATCTCGTCAATTTAAATGTAAAATGATGAGACCTATCTTCCAATCTAGTACGTCACTTAAATTCATAAAGTAAGCTTTATGAATTTAAGCGCAGTATCAGGTACCATAGAGGAACGTTCATTGCCATGTAAAAAATTTATAGAAAAGGCACAGGGAAGCTACGTTACGGCGGCTGGAAAGTGACTGAAGAAGAGTTGTCAGGACCAATATCATTGGAGATTCTTCTTTGGATTTTATCAAGAATCTCTAAATATATAACTGCAGCACCAGACCATCTGCAGCAGCAATATTCGAAGCATAGAAAAGTTGTAGACTTATAAATATATAAGATAGATTCTGACGATAAAAATGGTTTAAGAGAACACAGGAAATCAACTTCCCTAGCAGCCGACCGAACTTGGAAAAATGAACAGATTTTAGATAGAATACAGACATGTCTTCGAAATTCTCAGGTTACTAACTATAACAATCATCTTAAAATGGCTGGAAAGTCCAATGGCTGAAATGTTGTGAACCTATTTCAAATTTCATCAGACGATTATATTATTTCCGTAACCAAATTGGACATAAGCCATTCAAGCATTATATTTTTGTAATGACTTTCATATCTTTTTTACACTTGACGGAATGATAGGAGTTTTTAACTCATTTTTTTTTTTTACTATATATTATCCAATTCAGCGCTCGAGCCCCTCAATGTAGAGACTTATTGTCCAGGAATCAAAGCAGTAAAACTTCTCATTGAGTCGGAAACGTCATGCCCGAGCAAGTACCTCAGGCACTAAAAATGTCTACTCATTTGAGAAGACTAAAGGGCCCATTCGAAGAACTTCATTGGTGGGATATATAAGACCTCACCTATTTACATTTAGTATTTAGTCACGGTACAAGTTAGATGGGTCAAGGAACTCTCTTCCTGATTTGTCATTTGGTCAGATTTAAAACAACATGACAGAAACTTCTAGTGAATCATGACCGCCTACGGCCTGAAATGACACAGGACATAAAAGAAACCCTTCCCAGCATTCTAGTGCTCAACCTCATGCATCATAAACCATCTTGTGGATTGCTAGGTCTGCTAATTGTCATTCAATTAGAGACAAGCTTATTTTACTAATGCTAAATAAGGTGTGGTACTAGGCAGAGTTTTACAGAATTCATTGATCTCAGAGAATGGTCGAATTCGTCGAACGGACATCGTACAATAAATGTAGGACAACTCCATGTGGCTTTTATTTCGAAGAGTCTATTCTGTCGAACAGTGGATCTTTGCTTCTCTACGTCTTTTCAAATAATAAAATTTAAATTTACGAGGCAACCATATACAAGAGGGGGGTGGCTATTTGGTGTTAGTGATTTTTATTTTCAAAGAGCAATACATTATGCTTGATAAAATTCTTGATTGTGCATCAGATATGGCAGTATCGATGGCAAGTCATCATTAAAGAATCATCAATCATATTTCTAAAAAAAAAAGCCGTATCAACTGTGGTTGTGGTACAATTTCTAATCTACAAGCAACATCTAGTCGCAGACAAAATCCAGAATGAACAACTCCAAAATTCAATCCTGGTACTAAATCAAATGTATGTCTATGTCTTCGATTGTTTATACAGCTCTGGACTGAGAATGTTGAAAACTTTGAATTTTTTTTTTTTTTTTTTGCACACAGTAAGAAGGAAACTGGGGTGGGGTATATCCAGTTTCCTTGACCCTCCCTTAATGCCTCGGGGTGCCTGAAAATCTTACCTTAATGTTTAGCAAGAGTCAAGACAGATTTGCATGATTATTCGAGTCGCTTTCAAATTTTTAGCTTCGAATTTTTGTGTGAATTACAAGCAGTTTTATTTGAAGCCTTTTTTTTATTTTGCATATTTTAATTTTTAAAACTTACATTACTTCTAATATTGTCCTTTTAATTTGATTTTCTTCAAAATAAGTCACTTATTATCTATAGAAAATATTTTTTCTATAGAATCCAGGAAGTAGACAAAAACACTAAGATTAAGAATAAAATTATATAATTTTTTTGAACTGGGTGTTTGAAAACGCCTCAGTACTAATACTGTGACAACGCTCCCACAATACAAATAGGTTTAAATCAGTTGGTGAATAATCCCAATCCTTTAATTCTGTTCCGCTATGAACACATTAACTCAAGCCTGACAACGTTTGTATGGAAGTGCTTTGTTTGGTTCGATTCGTTTACC